TGTCTTTACTACTGAGGCAATGCCCCTATGAGTTTTCAACTCAACCTCTTCTGTATTTTGAGGTTTTCCCTTTCTGACCTTGGGAATGTGAACTATTCCTAGCTTTGTGTGAACGTTGGGAATTGTTCTGCCTGTTCTTTTTTTGCTGCTCCTTTTTCCAGCATTTCGTAGTTTCCTCACATGTATCTGCTGATCGGTTATCAGCTGAAGACTGATCTGTAGAAACTCCCTGTAGATCTAGAACTTTCTGTAAAGCTCTTTTCGTCTCTGGTACTCCACCCTAAGAATTCTAGCTAAGTCGGTCTCTTGGCAATTCTCAATTGTCTCCTCAACCTAGGGAAACTGCAGCACTCAGTCTGGGCTCCCCATCTCTACAGTGATACCTGGAAATTCCTTCATAGTGTTCATAGGGATCACCACCCTGCCCTGCGTGTTGTCCAATGTCTGAAAACACTGTTTCACCTTATACTTTAATTTTTTGTTTTTTGTTGAAAATGGAAGGATAAATCCAGTTCCTACTATTCCATCATGGCCAGAACAGCTTTTGATCTAATTATATTTAATTCTAATACTCAAAACTCCTTGCTGCAGTTGTCTAGAAACTACCACACACCTGTCTCCAAAGCATTCACCCTCACCGTTTACAAATATCTTGGCTCATTATTTCTCCTTATGACAATACTTTTTCATAAATCTGGTGATTTCAAGATTCACTAGATGATCATTTCAATATCCCTGCCTCTCAGTCCCGACTTCTTATTCCATGATCACGTCCTCTACCCTACACCTCAGTAGTCTTTTCTCTTGTTTATACTCTGATCTAATTTTTACTATGATTGCATCCATAATATAACTCAATTTCAAGCATTCCATTCTTCAACCATGACCTCCTCTCTTTCTCTCTTGCCTTGCTTTATATTCCTCCATAGCATTTATCACCATCTGACATACTAAATATTTAATTTTGTTCGTTGCCTAGATCTCATTAGAATATAGGCTCTGTGCAGTCTATCTTCTCAGTACTTAGCACACATTTAGGTACTATCTCCTTGAAACTTTCTTCACTTGGCTTCTAGGGTTCACTTGCTCTTGGCTCTCCTATTATCTCACTAGCTAGTCCTGTTTTGTCTCTGCTGAAAAATGAAAAGGGGTAAGAGGGTACAAAACCCATCTTAGGGAGATAACCAGTCTTCTATGATAAGCTGGCTGAGGCAGCAGGAAGGCCAGAGAACTATTTACCCTCTAGGGAGCAAGATATTTTAGTACCCAATAATGCCGGTACTTACTTTCCATGTATGTAGATAGGACATCTGCAGCAGGACAGCCAACATATGAAAGTATATTAGCTTTCTCCTACTAAAAAGGAAAACCACATCCTAAAAGAGAATTTTTACATTTATTTTTTATTGTTTCAACCAATGGCGAATATAAAATTGAATTCCCCATGTGGTTACAGGAACTGTTGAAAGAATTCCTAAAGTAACTTATTTTATAAAGTGAATAGGTAGTTCTGAATTTATCTAGCCACAGATAGTTCATACAATTGTAATAAAAAAGGTAAAAATTAACATTCTTCTACCATAAAAACAAGGTTGGTTAAATTTAGAAAATAATATTGAAAAATGCTCCTGACAAAAATATAAATAAAAAGAAACAACAAAATAACATTTTCCCCTAAATTTAGCCAACCTTGTAAGGAATGACAGAGGAATTGTCACAGATTGGAGGAAATTAAGGAGAAATCATAACTAAGTGCAATTTGGAGCCCTAGACTGAATCCCGGAACAGAAAAAAAAAAAGACTTTAGTGGAAAAACTGATGAAATCCAAATACAATCTATAATTCAGTTTAAAAGCAAGCAAACAAACAAACAAAAAAAAAACAAAGAAAGAAAACCTCCATTCAGGGGGCGCCTGGGTGGCTCAGTTAGCCGGCTGCCTTGGGCTCAGGTCATGATCCCAGGGTTCTGGGATGAAGCCAGCATGGAGTCTGCTTCTCCCTCTCCCTCTCCCCCTGCTCATGCTCTCTCTCTTGTTCTCTGTCTCACTCTGTCTCAAGCAAATAAATAAATAATCTTTAAAAAAATTAAAAAAAAAAGAAAAGAAAACCTCCATTCAGTACAAGAAAGCTTTCCTCAGCATCTAGCACACATCCTCTGCAAAAGTACCTGCTCTATCTGGAAGTTCTATGCCAGTCAAGACACACCTTCCAGGGCTGGACAGCTTTTTGTTCTTAGAAGGTTCTTCCTTTACTGCTTTGAGTTATATCCTTTTGTAGCTTCCACTCAATTTAGTTCTTCCTTCTAAAACTACACACAGTAAGTCTAATTCCTCTTTTACTTGACCTTCACATATTTTATATTTTGCCTCAAGTTTCTTTGTAAATGTTGACACACCCAGTTCCCTTAATCTTACACATGATTTTTACATCATTATTCTTGTCACACCACTTTTAAAAAAGTGCTCCAGTTTGTCAATGGTCTTCCTTCTGCTTGATGCTATACTTCTATGTCTAAAACAGTCCTCCTTTGTCAGCAGCTACATCAGGGTGATCATGAATCATTTACCCATACCCATGTGGTATAACTCAATGCCTTATCATTCAGTTGTACGACCTCTTTTTTCTCCTCACAGAATCACATTGGCAAGTGGTAAAGTGAGACGTCTGTTCAGAGTATTCCTCAGAGAGTCTTCATTCATCTGCCACGCTTTATTTGAGAGTCATAAATCTCAACTGACACAACCACCTAGTCACAAACACACACTTTAAAGCTGCCGTGCACCATTTTAGAGAAATCAAAGCATTCAGATCGGAGTTTCCCAAAAGCCCTGGGCTGGAGTCATCTATTATGCAAAGCCAAATACTTCCTTGTATCTGGGCATCATCAATCTATTTTCTGACCTTTCACCCTCAACATTCTCAAATCCCTTTGAAGTCAAAGCAACAGTCATTTTGGTCAGGTGTGAAAAAACGTATAGCACGTGCACGGGAATGCTCTGATGTCCACATTGTGCAAAAACACGAATATTTAGAGATCACTTAATCTCTGCTGTTGCATAATGGGCTTTGATGTAAACATAAATACAGTATCTGCAAAGAAGCCTCCCCATATTTGTCGCTTTAGGGACGGAGGGTTCCTGGTCAGAAATGGGATACCAGCAACACTCGGTCACCTCACATAACCCTTAAGACGAAGCCGAGGGCGGCGGCTGGCGGGCTCTGGCTCTCCCCGGAGTGACCGCGCCGGCCGGCGCTGCCCGGACCCCCTCACCTCTCTTGTCCAGGAGCCACATGAACGCGAAGCAGGGCAGGAAGCCGATGGGTCCCCACAGCACAAGCAGCGCGATGTCCCAGCTGGAGAAGCCATAGGCCTGGCGCGCCGAGTTCTGGATGGGGCCCCAGGTGTTCCAGACCAGGCCCTGCGCGAAGCCCAGCAGCGAGAAGAGCAGCAGCACCAGCCAGCGGCGCCCGTACACCCGCCCGGGACCCGGGGCCGCCGCGGGCAGCGCCGCCGCCGCCGCTTCCCGGCTTCTCCAGACAGCCCCCGGCGCAGGCCCGAGCCCGGGCCCCAGCAGTGGCTGCCGCTCCTCCTCGCTGCTCCAGCCCGCGCCCATGGCGACGCGCGGCCCGCGGGGCCTCGGCCCAGCGCGGTCCGGGTGGCCGCCGACCAGCCCCGGGCCGATGCGGCCGCAGGAGGCGGAGGCAGAAGCGGCTGTGTTCACCCTCGGCCTCTGGGCCGCGCCCGGTGCGCCTGCGCCGCGCGAGCCGGCCCGGGGCTGGAAGGCGGGGCAGGTGCGGCGGGCTGGGAGGAGGCCGGGGTACTGCTCTGGGGCAGTACCCTCGCGGGCACTGGAGCGTAAACTGAGGCGGTAGAGGGCGTGAAGACCCCCGTCCCTGAGGGAGGACAAGGAGAAACCAAAAGGCGGGAGGAGCGCGGCTGAGCCGGGGACAAGGAAACTCCCAGAAAGGCTGTGTTAAGAGGAGGTTGGGCAAGGAACCTGGGATTGCTGGAGGAAGTGCCTAAGTTTACATCACGTGTCGGATAAACAACTCGGATACCTCCGGTCACTTAAGCTATTGCTTGCTTCTATATTGGATTTATTATTTTTGTTGTTTTTCTAACTTTAGATATTAAAGGGGGAGATAGGGTAAGATTGAGCTGTTGGATTTGCCAGTTGAGAATTAATTTCTTTTTTACATACAGTAAGTACTGCCTATTTTTTCAGTTACCCTTTGTCTTACATACCCAATGAGATTATAAACTAGCCAATTACATTCATATGTGATTTAAAAAGATATAGATATCTTTCTACTCGTTGCCTGTCATTAGTGGGCTAGCAATAAAGATATGTTGATTAAGACTTAAGAGATTTCTGCCCCTAATGACTTAGATCCATCTCCAGTTATTACAATTTTGACCAGACTAAAAGTAAGTGAAAAGGGTGAGGGTTGTTGATCTCTTGATCAAGCAGCCGGTTGTTTATTTCATTATACAAATCCAGAAGCCTGACAGCTGTCGATTAGTGCCCTTGAAACCCTAGGTCAAGCGATTTGGCTTATGTGGGTCGGGAAATGAGTCACGGAGAGCGCAATTAAAGGACGTTTGCCTTTAGTTCGGATTCCCCAGAAGCCACAAAAAACAGACGGGATCATGTTGCTGCCAGAAGGGCAAGAAAGGTGGAAAAGAGAAGCGTTAGCTCTCCTGGTAAGAGCGGCTGCAGAGTAAGGCGGAGGCGGAGCCCCCATTCCACTGCTCCGAGCCCCACAGAACTGCAAACCATACCCTAAAAACCCCAATACTTTTGGGTGTAGGAAAGCGGCAAGGCAGATAGGAAGGACATGACTAAAAAAGACGGGGAGCAGAAACTAATCCAAGAAAAGACTACAATGAAAGAAGGCTAAAGTCTGGGGTTGATACAAAGCGCTACAGCCGAGACCACGTGCTGACATTTCAACAACCGGGGAATCAAAACAAACCTGCGTGGCCCCGCCCAGCGCCCGTCACGTGACTGCCGCGTGAGCGGTGCTTCCGGGGGAGCCTTGGAGTTGCTAACGCCGCTCCTTCCTGCCCTGCGACTCCAGAGCCCGGTGTTTGGCGGTCCTCCGAACCCACTCCCACTTCACTCCACTTTTGGGTTGGGGCGGAGCTAGCCATGGCAGCCACCCCGGGGACGACCCCTGAAACTGCCCCGGCAGCTGGAGCTGGAGAGGTGGAAGGTAGGCGCCAGACTGAAGTCAGGTCATGAGTACAACCCTATGCCAGCTCATTCTTGGCACCTCTCCTGCGGCCTATTGGTCTAGCTTCTATTTCACGTCTCTCCGGCACTGCATTAAACTGTGAAGAAATTATTTTTTAGTGAACGTGGCTTTTCTCAAATTGAGGCATCCAGATTTCCAGTCATCGTGCAGGCAGGCCCTGTATCCCCACATCCTGCCAGGGCTGATTCATGCATGAGGGTGGTTTGAATGGATTAAAATTAAATCTGTGAAAGTGGAGCCCACTCTTGAGATAAATGGAAATACCTGGGACTGGGACATTTATGAACAGAGATTAGGAGCTTTTGTTAGATTTTGGTGGAACCCTGCCTTAGGTAACCAGTGAGGTTGGGGGGGCCCATGTGCCAGAGATCTCTGTTAGCCTTTATTGAGTGATTGCTCGGTGCCTGGCACAGTTCTGGGTACTGCTACTGGAGAATCTAGAGACTTATGATTGTTTCTAATAATGCTTTTTTTCCAGTTGAGTAAAGGGGCTTGGAAAGGAGAAGAATGATTAATACCTGGTAACATGAATAATACTAGCAGTACACACTGGGTGAGGGTTGTCACCAGGAGGAGAGATCCCTTTGGGGAAAACATAAATGCTTCAAGGAAGGAGTAGTTGGAGGTGGGTCTTTAAGATTGAATGAGATCCTGACAAACTTAGGTGTAGTGTGGGGGAGTTGTGGGAAGACAGCAGAAAAACAGGATGGCTGTGGTTGGAGATCAAATACTCATGTTTGCCTAGAGCAGGAAATGACCAATCCAAGTGGAGGAAACAATTATAACTTTGTCCTGTCTGACCAGTCTCTTGTCCTTATAAACTCCCTTATGTACCCCAAGGATACAATTCTTTTTTTTTTTTTTAAGATTTTATTTATTTATTTGACAGAGAGAGACACAGCGAGAGAGGGACCACAAGCAGGGGGAGTGGGATAGGGAGAAGCAGGCTTCCCGCCGAGCAGGGATCCTGATGCGGGGCTCGATCCCAGGACCTGGGATCATGACCTGAGCCAAAGGCAGATGCATGACAGCCACCCAGGCACCCCTAGGATACAATTCTTGAACTTCATCTATGCCTCCCATCCATTGATTCTTATATTTTCTGTACATCCGTACCCCCTTATCCAGTTTATAATTCATGCTCTATTTTGTCATGATCTGTCCTCTGAAGATGCACCATTTCCTTGTCCTTCCCTTCCTTTTTTTTATTCTTCTGGCAGAACTCATACTCTTGATGAACCCAACCTTTTGTTCTCTTTACACCTGCACTTACATGGCTCATTTTTTCTGGAAAAAGTCCTGGGCAAACTGATGACAGTATAAAATGAAAATGATCAACCTCTTGAATATTCATTCAGCATGGGCCTGAGATCCTCTGATTCTGTTTCTGTGGTAAGCTTACTTCCCCCCATGACAATTCCCCAAACTCTACATATCCTCTCTTCATCTCTTTCTCACTTTCAATGGGTGACTTTGCAGGTCAGGTCAATTCTGCATCTAATTTGTCTACTTTTCCCCACCTTCACTATCAGACCCTTGTCCAGAGGATCCACATTTCTCACCTAAACCACTGCTATATCTTAAGGCCATGGGACCCTGTTTTTTATCTTGTGCCCCTCCAATCCCTTCTCCATTCAGCAAAAAAAGTGACACTCCCTTCCTTAAAACTCTTCAATGAATTCCATAGCACTTAGAATAAAATTCAAACCCTTAACCATGGCCTACAGAAATCCTTGGTCTGGGCTCTGCTGATGTCTCCAGGAGCATCTCTTGTCACTCACTTCCTCCTCCTCTTGTCTACTTTTTGCATAATTGGCTTCTTAATCTTCAGCTTTCAGAGTATGTCACCACCCGAGTTCTTACCAGACCAACCTATCTAAAACGGTTGTTTTAGTTTTCCCCTGACTCCTAACATCTATTGTTCCTGCTTCCTTCATTTCACTTATTACAATCTGAAATTACTTGTTTATTATTGTTTCCTCCACTTGACCTTAAGTACCTTGAAGGCAGGACGTATATCTGTTTTATTCACCATATGTGCCCAAGCAGCAAGTACAATGCCCAGGCACATAGTGGACACTTAGTACATATTTGTTGAGTGAATGAATAAGGGAACTCTGTGCCAAGTCCAAAGGCAGGAGGAGAAAGAGCATGGCATGGTCCAGGAACTGAAAGAAGCTGGTATTAGAAGTGGTGAGGGAAGTAGGATCGTTGAAGGGCACCTTGCCAAGTTAAGGAGTTTGGACTTTATGACAGTAGAAGGCCTTTAAAGAGCTTTAGGTAAGGGAGTAACATGATCAGGTTTGATTTTAGGAGGATCAGGAGGATAGATGGGAAGGAGAAAGACTAAAGAACAGGTACTTACCCTTTAAGCCTCAATTTTGTCTTCTGTAAAATGCATGATTAGTGTAAGAGTTAAAGATAATTGGGGATCATCTAGCATAGTGTTTGGCAGGAATTACATATTCATTAGTGGCAACCATTTTTATTATTAAAGAAAGGCCTGGCATTGGTGACTGATGGATGTTGTAACTGAGAGAAAAGAACTTAGAGAGCTCTGTAATTTTCCAACCTGAGAAACTACATGTAAATTAGGAACCTGAAGAAAAGGAGGTGGTTGGGAGTAATGAGTGAATGCACAGCGTTTAGATTTGGAAAGATGATGCAAAAGATATCAAGCATGCAGCTGGGTAAAAGGAGGGGTTTTTTTAGATTTAGTTTTCACTTTCCATAAATTCACCCTTTTAACATACACAGTTCATTGGTTTTTAGTATGTTCACAAAGTTGTACAGCCATTACCACTATAATTCCAGAGCATTTTCATCACACTGAGGAACCTGGTATCTATTAGTAGTCACTCCCAATTAGACCCTCTCCCCAGCCTCTGGCAGTCACTAATCTACTCTCTGTCTCTGTGGATATTTGCCTACTCTGGATGTTCCACATAAATGGAATCATATAATATGGGGCTTTTTGTGTCTGGCTTCTTTCACATTGCATAATATTTTCAAGGTTCATCTGTGTTTTAGAATGTATCAATACTTCATTCCTTCTTAAGGCCTAGTGATATCCCATGGTATGGTAATACCACATTGTTTATCCATTTATCAGTTGATGGCATTTGAGTTGTTTGCACTTTTTGGCTATTATGAGTAATGCTGCTGTGAGCATTCATGTACGTGTTTTTGTGTTAACATATGTTTTCAGTTTTCTTGGGCATATATATAAAATTGGAATTGCTAGGTTATAAGATAATTCCATATTTAACTTTTTGAAGAAACTGGTGAATCTTTTTTTTTGAGAGAGAGAGAGGGAGCACAAGCATGGGTGGGGGGCAGAGGGAGAGGGAGAGAGAGAATCTTAAGCAGGCTCCATGCCCAGCACAGAGCCCCATGCAGGGCTCCAGCGCACGACCCTGAGATCATGACCTGATCCGAAATTAAGACGCTTGGACATTTAACTTGACTGAGCCACCCAGGTGCCCCAGAAGAAACTGGTGATTCTTAATTTTGAAGTCCTAAGGAGGGAAAAAAATCTGATGAAAATATGGATCTGCTCCCCTGAAAAATGCAGCATAAATACACATTTTTGCAGGTGACTTCGTATTTTTGTATTAGATTCTCAGTATCCTATCTATGGAACTTTCAGTCACATTTTAAACTGTCATCCTCCCCAGAATCACCAGTTTGGGATGACTGCTTATTACCATTACAAAGTAAGTTAAATAGACAAAATCCTACCAGAAGAGAAGGCTTTGCTTTAAATTACGTAAGGCTTATGTGAACAAAGGGTAAAAAAAAAGTGCATACATTAAATACACAATGTGAAAGGGTCAGTATATTCAGGTTAATGATGAATATTGTGGGAGTCATAAGAAAGTTAATTTTTGAGCAAACTTATTGGAATGTATATTATAAACAAGATTCATACAGTGAGGTAGAAGACAGATCTTGCCTTAAAATAGTTTGTAAATATAGTTTGGGGGAAAAAGATGCAGATAAAAACAGTTGTAGTATAAGATGTATGCACAAGCAGGAAGGAATTAATTGGGAAGTAAATACTACACACCTTCAGTGCTTTGGGGCTGAGAGAAGAAAGAACTAATGCAAACTGGATTGGTCTGTACTTCCTAGAGTAATTTGAAAGTTTGTTATAGTTTGAACATGGAAACGAATGGAAGAGGCCATTTCTGGCAGTCAAGGCTGGGATTAGGAGTGAGTGGAGAAAAGCCTGAGTCACATAAAGGCCAGAGGGCGGGGAGGAAGGTGAGGAGACAGACTGGTTCTACTAGAGTAGAATTGGTAGCAGAGAATGCAGGTGAAAAGAAGGAAAATTGTGTCCTTTGAAAAACCAAATAAGAGCAGGGTCAACCAGAAATGTTGACGTGAAGAAGAGGGAAATCATGGGTTTCAGTGTTATAAGAAAAAATAGAGCAAGGCACCTCAAAGAGTGAGGAAGTGGAGAGAGGTATTGGGGATTTGAGAGTGAAGAAGCTTTAGAATGGTTGCTGTAGGGGCAAGGGTGATTAGGAATCAAGTAGTGATAACTTAACATGCTGGGAACAGGCAAGGAACCTGATGGAGGTGAGCATGAAATTGTGAACCCTTTGTTTTGAGACTGTTTCTGATTGTGCTCAAGAGCTCATTTTGCAGAAGTAGAGAAAACAAGTCATTAGTTTTAATAAAACTTTAATATTTTATATACATTGCTAAAAATGAGGTGTGAATTCAGAAAACATATTTATTTAGCATCAGTTTATGCCAAACATTGTGCTAAGCTCTAGGGATAGAAAAGTAATCGTCTTGCCTTAAAGGATGTGATATTTTCTGTTTGAAGTAACAGCTTGAAAGTTATTAAAAACAAAACATCATATCGATAATCAAATATATTAGAATCCTTATTTGAAAATAAAGTGGACCTAGGGTCCTGGGTGGCTCACTGGGTTAAGCGTCTGCCT